CTTCAGCAACCCTCAGTTTGTTTCCTGAGATTAAGAATTCCTCATATTAGTGAGGTCATATGATACATGTCTTTCTCTGATTGACTTATTTCACTCAGCATAACACCCTCCAGTTCTATCCACGTCGTTGCAAATGGCAAGATCTCATTCCTTTTGATGGCTACATAATATTCCATTGTGTATATATACCACATCTTCTTTATCCATTCATCTGTCGAAGGACATCTTGGCTCTTTCCACAGTTTGGCTATTGTGGACACTGCTGCTATAAACATTGGGGTGCACGTACCCCTTCGGATCCCTACATTTGCATCTTTGTGGTAAATACCCAGTAGTGCAATTAGTGCTCATCACTCTTGAAAACGATATGGAAGTTCCTCAAAAAGTTAAAAATAGAACTACCCTACAATCCAGCAACTGCACTCCTAGGTATTTGCCCAAAGGATATAACAATACTGATTTGAAGGGATACATGCACCCCAATGTTTATAGCAGCATTATTAACAATAGCCAAATTATGGAGAGAGCTCAAATGTCCATTGACTAATGAATGGATAAAGAAGATGTGGTGTATATATACAGTGGAATGTTACTCAGCTATAAAAAAAGAATGAAATCTTGCCTTTTGCAATGACATGCATGGAGCTAGAGAGTATTATGCTAAGTGAAATAAGTCAGAGAAAGACAAATACCATATGATTTCACTCATATGCAGAATTTAAGAAATAAAACAGGTGAACATAGAGGGAAAAAGAGAGAGGTAAATGAAGAAACAAACTCTTAAATATAGAGAATAAACTGAGTGCCGCTAGAGGGGAGGTAGGTGGAGGGATGGATTAAATGGGTGAAGGGTATTAAGGAGGGCATTTTTGATGAGCACTGGATGTTGTATGGAAGTGATGAATCACTAAACCCTACACGTGAAACTAATATTACACTGTTAACTAACTGCAGTTTATGTAAAACTTGGAAGAAGAAAAGAGATATACTTGTTTCTAAACCTAAAGAAAAAAAAATCATTCCCAAAATTGGATCATGTATCAGTCAGTATTCTCATAAGAAACAGAACAGAGAAATAGAAGCAATAGGATGTCTGTATCTGTGTATGTGTATGTATTTGTATCCATATATATGTACAGAGAGATTTATATTAAGAATTGGTACATGTGAGGGGCTCCCGGGTGGCTCAGTCGGTTAAGTGTCTGACTCTTGGTTTTGGTTCAGGTCATGATCTCAGGGTTGTGAGATTGAGCCCTGCATTGTGCTCCACTCTGGGTATGGAGCCTGCTTGGAATTATCGCTCTCCCTATTTGCCCCCCCCCCCCCCCCCACTCTCCATGCTCTCTCTCTCTTAAAGGAAAAAAAAAGAGAAAGAGAGAGAGAGAGAAAGAAAGAAAGAATAGGTTCATGTGATTGTTTAGGCAGGTAAGTCCAAAATCTGTAGGGCAAGATAGCAGCCTGGAGAAGAAGCAAAGAATTGATACTGCTGCTCGAGCCTGAAGGCATTCCCTCTTCCTTGGGGAACCTCAGTCTGTTTTCTTCTAAGGGCTTTAACTAACTGAATGAAATCCATCCACATTACAAGGTGTAATCTGCTTTACTTAAAATCTACTGATTTAGATGTTAATTGCATCTAAAGATGACCTTCATAGCAACATCTAGACTAGTGGGTTTTTTTTTTAAGATTTTATAATTTAGGAGTGAGTGTGAGCGAGAGAGCACGAGCCGTGGGGAGGGGCAGAGGGAGAGGGAGAAGCAGACTCCCCACTGGGCAGGGAGCCTGACACGGGGAGCTGAAGGCAGATGCTTAATCAACTGAGCCATCCAGATGCCCCTAGATTAGTGTTTGACCAAAAGTTTAGGTACCATAGCCTAGCCAAGTTGACACATAAAATTAATCATCATAACATTATAACATCATTTGTTATTGATTTAAGAACTCTGGAGTTAGGCAGTTCTAAGTTGCAATCAGTGGCCTCTAGATATCTTCTCTTACGATTCTCTTCGACTTTGCCTTAAGGTCATAACATGATTGTCACCGCTCAACACATCACACCCTACATATTTGCATCTTAATCAAGAAGGAAATAAAAGGGCTTTTTTCATATGACATATTCTGTCTTTTATACAGAGAGAAAAATGTCTTCCTAAAGCCACCTTCGGATTTCCCCTTTTATCTCATTGGCAAGAACAGAGTCATAGGTCAAATTTTAGGCAATAATTGAAAAAGAGAAACTGAAGTACTAAGATTTCCCCTTGGTCTTGCTTTCCCAGAGAACATTGCTACCTGCCTGATATCCGAAGAAACACTAAGGAATAAGAAGGATGGCTGTTAGGTCGGCAATAAAAAGTGACTGCCATAATGGCCTTTCAAAAATAGAGATTT